TATTATGCTAACCGAATAATAATCATTAAATAATAAAATTAGTTTTTGAAACTCTAATCATTTATTTTTGCTTTCTTACATTTATATTCAGTACAAAAATTAACTAAATAGGCAACTAAAATGTGAAATCAAATAAGAAGTCATCATGCTAAAAGATTAAGAGGGAATATTTTTAAAAGTTTTTGAATTTTTCAAAAAATAATATTTTTTATTAAGTTCGAACAAATTTTAATATTTTTACTTTGATTTAAATATAATCGTAAAATTAACAGTTGATTAATCATTAATAATTAAAATATTATTTATTATTTTATATTTACGTGGTGTTAATATTAAGAGTAGAAACATCATGTGATTATGTCATTATTTTATATTATCATCTACTATGATATGTTAGCATGTCATATCAACAACATGTGATATAAAATGATAAATGATATTTTGATTAATTACAATTAATCAACTGTTAGTCATAATTCATAAAAACTTATTTGATTCAATTCAAAACTATAATGTTTTTATTAAATATAATAAAATAATAAAAAATTATTTAAAAAATTCTTAATAATCTATAAAATTTTTTTAAGTATTAATCCGAAAAAAATAGACAAGACCGTGTAAGGATAAGATTTAAGTTTCAAAGGTCAAATTAACTAAATCAGATGTGAGAAATTAACTTCTTGTGAGACCAATGACAAAAAATCTTGTTATGAGATCATGTTTGAGAAGGTGATACATACGTCTACGTCATTGATTAGGAATGGAATGACTCTTGGTACCTCTTACTAATTTCTTATTTCTTATATTGGACCAATCGATGCTTTGGCCCTTCAACTTCGTCACCTTCTTGCAAGAGAAATTTATTTTTAAAAAAGGATTAACACTCATAATCCGTCTTTAACCCCAGGTGAAGTTTAATCATGCGGGACGTCATGTCCGAACCTACTCTTTGAGCCCAAAGTCTTTGTCCAAGCCTTGCCCCGTTGGGCCAGGTTGGTTTGCAGGCCCTAGCAATTAAGCCATGGAAGCACTGAAATTACATATGACGATTTGTAAAGGAGAACAAAGAGGGGAGAATTAGTGATGAGTTGGAGAAGAAGTTCCAAAAACCGTGTGAGCTCCATTGAGTCAAAGCTATTTTGTTTATAAACAACATTATCATTAAACTTTGTTATATCTGAAGACTGCTTGAAAAGTGAAACTGAAATGGTCTCCCTTGAAATGCCTTAAACCAACTTTTTTTCAGAGAATATCAATCAATGGGACCAAAATCAAGGGTGTAATCGATTCATTCATTTAAATTGTTAGGAGTAAGAAACATGTTTCACTTCGGCAGAGCGTCATCAAAATCTTTGAACTTGGAAAAATTTACAATATAAACAAAATAATGTGTCCCAGAGATGGACCCCTCATTGTCTTTGCAACAAAATATGGTATCCAAAACCCACCTCTGTTCACACTATTTTATCCCCCAGTTGTCAAAACATTTAGATACACTGAAGATACTCATTGATTTTTCAGAATCTGCTTCAGATTTATCAGAATCTGCTTCAGATTTAGTAATGTTTCATGGATGATAGCGTCAAACATATTAACCGTGTTCCATGCAATGATGGCTAAGGAATAAAACCCTAACAGCTGGCAGATCCAAGGAAAATCTCCATTGATGTAAACTTTGGGATATATTCAAGCATTGGTTTACCTTCAACAATTAAAGTCAGCTTGCCATAGATGCAGGCATGCCCGACATTATGTTTAGGTTTGTCCCAATTTATGCTCACTTGACTTAGTCTAAGACATAGTAAGTAATGTGTATACTTTCCTTCTGAGAAACTTCCTTGACAATGGGGGAAAAATACAGAAAAAGGAACCCTTTTGTCGATTCAGTAAATCCAATAAAAATAGTGAGTAGACTTAAGTACAGCTCTTTTTATAACTTGATCTTTTGGGATCACTATAAAAGGAAAAACAAGTACCAAAAGAAAAGAAAATTAAAATATAAGCTAGTGAAAGTATATTATTTAATTTTTAAGATTTTCAAATAATATTATTTACTTTTCAATTAAATGAACCAAAAGAAAAAATAAATAAATTGAGAATTGAACTCTCAACTACTTTTTAATACACTTATCATCATCATTCACAGGTGAATGTAGGAACAAGATGATTAAATGTGTGTTAAAAAGGAGTCCAAACTTAAAAAAAAAAAAATTAGTGATGCTATTAATTACTTTTAATAAAGCTTTTATTTGAATGCTGGAAAAGGACAAACACAAAACAAAAGGAGAGAGAGAGAGAGAGAGAGACAGCAATCCGAAGAAAAAATTGGTCAGGAGAAACTAAGCAGTTGGCTGGCTGGGGTAGACCAAAACAAAGGGAAGGAGACTTTAATGAGGGTATGGTTGAATCATGGGCAGTTGCAAACCCATGCTGTCTGTTAAATATGCAGCAAAAATCAAGATAGGATATCCCCAGATTTCTTCACTCTAATCAATAGATTGATTATCGGATTCAGTACCCAATAAATAAAACAAAAACTCATCGATTCCAAATCTTTTCCATGCTTGAGACTCTGCAACTATTACTAAGTATCTACCTTTCGTGTACTCTTAATTAGGTTTTTATAAATTGGTTGATTTGTTATCATTATTTTGCATTACGAATAAATAGTAAATAGAGAAAATTGTGAGAAATAACCCTATTTAATGAAAGCATTTCAAAAATAATTATCAAAATAAATTCAACTAATTTTAGCTATATTTATTCATGATTTGATAAAAATACTTTTAAAATTATTTCAAATAAATTTAACCATTTTTCATAATTTTTTCTTATTTGTGCTTCCGATTTTTCTCTCTCTCACTATCCAACTCTGTCTAATTTTATCGATTTCTCTCTTCAACATTCGTTTGCTATGCTTTCGATTTCTCTCTCGTGTTTTTAGATTTCTTTTTCTTGTGCTTTCAAGACACCAAAGGATGGTTTTGATTTACTTGGGGTGGGTAGCTACTTAGAGAATTTGATTTTTAAGTATTTTGGATAAAATCAACACAGTAAAAATGATTATAAATGTTTGAAATAGCTTTTAATTGGATCAATTTGGGATCTAAACAATAATAAACTCAAGAATTTAAAATTTATAAACCTAGGTTTTTAATTTTTTATTTTTAGTCAAAATAGGTGTTTTAGATAAGAAAATTTGTGTTTTGATTTATGAAAACATGTTAAAAATACTTTAATCAGTGTTAAATTATTAAAAAAATAAAAAAAAATTGAGAGAATTTGAAGTTTTGGTTCGTAAGTAATAATAACATTTTAAACATTAAAGTGTAATAAAATATTTTTGAATATGACGTGTAACAATAATATTTTTTCAATATGACGTATAATAACAACATATTTTCAACATGGTACGTAATATATTTTTATACATAGTGTGTAACAATAATTTTTTTTTTCAACATGACGTGTAATAACTTTTTTTAACCATAACGTGTAACATGTTTTTATACATAACGTGTAACAACAATATTTGTTTTTCAACATAGTATGTAGCATGTTTTTATATATAACATGTAACAATAGTATTTTTTCTTCAACATGACACATAATAACCTAATCATGACATCTAACATCATAACATATAATTTTATCTAACTTAATTAAAAATAATTAAAATTATAAAAAATTTATTTTTAAAAACATTTCATCCTTAAAAATTATTTTTAAAAATATTCCATTATATATATATATATATATATATATAGACATGGCAACGACTCCAAACCAAAGATGCCCAGACAAGTTATAAAAACGGATAAAACAAAGCAAGCAACTGACATTGAAGTTGCTTTTGGAAACCTTTGCCTTTATATAGTATCTCAATCTAATTAATTCTTCAAACTCTAACTACCTCAACTTACTATATATAATAACCACTTTGTCATCAAGAGAGAGAGAATAATTTCCCTTCTTTCCCATCCTAATTATGAGTTTCCCTTCTAAGTAACTTAAATGTTATATATTGTTGGAATTTCTATTATCGATTTATCATTTATAGTAATTTTAGAAACACAAACAAATAAAAAATAAAAAAATACCAGTCTACTAACTTCAATCATATATGTGAACGAAGAAAAAGCAACCTTTTTTTTATTGCTTAATAAACCTAATATTTCTACTACAATCATTCAAAAAGTAAAAACCTACTACATGCCTAACTTTCTACAGTATTCCTTTCGATTCCCTAAAGTCCATCAAAATAGCAATGACATACACGTGAGAATAAACGAAAAACACACACACACACTCTCTCTCTCTGTCACGCACACGGATATATATATATACACATAGAGAGAGAGAGAGAGAGAGAGACAGAAGTGAATAACGTGATCAGCAGATGAAGCTAGCACGTGATCTTAACGTGCAAGAAACACCCCCACGATCTTATATAGCATAAAATTGAAAGACAGAAATATGAATACAACCGGACAAAAGCCATGTATTATTAGCATCATAATCACCATTTCTAACTCGTAATACATTATTGGTGACTGACTGACTTTGCATATCTGAGCTCAATATTTCTTTAGTTTCCATGCATCCCGACGACTTGAGTCAACCTAATTAATATTGACAAACGCTAATTTCCTCTAAAATGAACTTGGGTATCTCTTTGTCTTCTTCGCAATTTCTTCTCTACTTCCTTCTCTCTTTATAAAGACCCATCTTTACTCTCTCTACACCATTTCATAGATTTACATTTTCTTCTCTACTTCCTTCTCTCTTTATAAAGACCCATCTTTACTCTCTTACACCATTTCATAGATTTGCATGTTCTTCTCTACTTCCTTCTCTCTTTATAAAGAGCCATCTTTACTCCATTTCAGAGATATCTGATTTGTTTTGAACGAATGTTCAAAGTTTCTTTTTTTTTTTTCTAAATAAAAAAGAGTGATAATTAAGTTACAGGTTTCTGTCTTTACTTTGAAGAATAGAAGATGGTTCCAATGGGATTTAAATTCTGCCCTACCGATGAAGAGCTTATCCAAATCCTGATAGAGAAAGTATCTGGGAATGTAACGGCGCCGTTTGATTTCATTGTTGAAAGAAATATTTATAAATTAGAGCCGCAAGATCTTCAATGTATGACGTTCCTTTTCTTCTTCCTTAATCATATTAATTTTCTGATAGCATCAAATACATTAATCTCTTTTTTGTTTGGTATATCTATTTATGCTTCCAGTTTCGGCGCATGACCATACTTTTTAGCATATAAAAGTGAAATATTAATGCGTAGAGCTATCAATATTTGTCCTGGGGTTCATGTCTGAGGGCAAAGGAACAGAATGCCGTGTTTCATGGAACATTGGATCAATCAGATCACAACAACCATCATACTTCCTATGTTTCATCCATCAACTTAATTGTCTCATCTGATCGTCTGTAGCCTCTACTGAACTGACTCCCTTCCCTTGCCAGGGCTCCCAAAATCCCACATTTTGTACTATATATATATTTACTACAGTAAAAACCAGTACATGGAAACTTAATATCTTCGATGGTTTTCTTTCTTAGACTAATGTTATATATACCTAGTCATCCTTTCTTTAATTATACTTTGTGCAGGGATTCAAAGCCCGGCCTTAAAAGATAACGAAAGGTATTACTACTGTAAGAGGGAGAGTGATTCGAGAGAGGTTTCGGGTCGAGGATGGTGGAAGGCCACCAGTCATGTCAAGACAATTTCTGCTAATGGAAGAGTGGAGGGTTACAAAAGGCCCTTAACATTTCACAGGTTTGGGGATAACGAAAGAAAGCGCAAAGGTGCGATCAAGACTGACTGGATCATGCATGAATATGGCCTCCACTCTATTCCAACGGTTTGTGTCCTCCTTCCCAAAGTTTGATGCATAAAGCATATCTTCAAACCATACATGCACCCGCTGTCCTTTTCAGCTAATTAATTTATTGCTGGGTATTTTTCCCCCAAGCATTTGTGAAGAGTATGAAGCTATACAAATTATTAAACAAACCTGTTCTTTACAATATGGTGACAGCAAGAGCAAATCTACCGTTTTACAGCCTGGGGGAGAAAAGAGGAAACATATGTAATCTAGGCTTTTGATTTAATTTCTTGAGATATCATTGTCCAAAACCCGATTTCTTTCGATATGCATAGACTTCTCTCTTTTCTTCTGATGCCACTGTAAGGATTGTCTAGTCTACACATGTGAGCTTATAGCTATACGAGGTTATTACCTTTACATCGCAGAACGACGTTAATTAGGCTGTGGTGAGCCAAATGGCACGTAAATAATTGGGGTCCTGAACTTCTAAATATAGTTAGATTATCAGATCAATAATATCTCTACAGCATATATAGCAGCTAGCTAGCAAATAGTTCATAAGTTTAATCCTTTTCATGACCCCAGTAAATTATACTATCATATATAATTACTCTCAATTTTAATGTTCTTAAATATTATCATAATCTCAAGCCAAACCATATACTATATATGGTTAAGAATAACAGTACTATAATTGTTTCTGCTACAATTTTCACTATCAGCTCTCACTCCCATAATTTTAACCACCAAAAATGTAAGGAGAAGATTGGTAGGTAAGTCCTGCGCCTATTGCCTATATGAACAGGGCTGTAGCTGCAAGCAAGGGATCGGTTAGGGAGTGAACAAGATGTATATTTTAGTTAATTTTGATGGCTGCCTGCCCCTCCATTACTTTAGGCATAGGCAGTATATATTTTGTTGTATGAACTGCAGTAACCTTGGCCAATGAGAATTTCATATTTTTTCTTAAGAAAAAGAGAATTCATATCCAATTCTTTAAGTAAAGAATACACATACTAAATATTGAACCAAATACTAATTAGCTGTCAACTAAGATTTAACTTTAACAATAAAAATGAGATACTCGAACCATTTTAGGTCAAAAATTCAAATTTAATCCATGCATAAGTTTGCTTCCATTTAATATTGGGTTTTTCTTAATTATTTAGTGCTACTAAAACTTAACTTACTGTTGTAACTATTGGTTTGTTTTCCTCTATTAAAAGCTGGTAAATATATCTTTCCAAAAAAAAAAAAACGCTGGTATGTACAATTTGTTTGTTTTTCTATCTAAATGCACTTTGTATTTTCTCATTTTTGTAAGAAAAAAAAAACAAATAACAGAAGTTCTGATTAACGAGAGGGAACTTTAGTTGGTTATATATGTGTTTTCTATTTGATTACTTACTCTTTTTACTCTTCGAAGATAAGTGCAGTGATGTAGGAAAATTCAATGAATATGTACTGTGTGGAAATAACGAGACAAGACAAGGTATGGGATATTGCGGTTAGCATTTGTCAAGGAATGGGATGATACTCTTGCCTTTTGCTTTATTTGCACGTGTACAAGATTTATAGGGTACGAAAGATTTGGTGTTTGGACAATGTCAGTGCAGTCATCATTATGGTTTTGCATCTCACTTTGCATTGTTTAGCATTTTAGAGTAGTAATTCGTATGATTCTAGCTTGACTTTCTTCTTCTTTTCTTGTTCTTTGTTTATGTAGGACTGGAGACTCTGTAAGATTAAGTACAAAGGAAAAGAAAGGCTTGAAGAAGACACGGAAAATATCAGAAACAGGTCTTGTCCAATTAGTTTAGAAGCTACAGGTGGCTGTATTAGTTCCATAAATCCCATGCAGGTGGATCAGTTTGCTTTTAAGGAACAGCAGCTGCAGCCGCATCCATTGCTGTCGCCATTAACCCTTATTAACAATGATTATGAAAATTATTTTGGGTCAAACTCAAACTCAAACATGAGATTTGAAACATCGATTGGTGAGCAGGAGCAGCAGCAGGAAATGGAGCCCATCTCCTCATTTGATCCAAGTTGGATGCCACTGATGGCTACACCAAGCCACGTTGCATCCCAACAACACAACCAATCGGCTGAGACCAGGGAAGCTCACTCTCCATTTCCAGACCTGTGGTCCAGCTGGGAGAATTGGCATTGACCCCTCTTTCCTCCAAATATTAATTACTCAAGCAGCTGGTTTGCTAAGGGGTTTTATTTAAACCCCATACTTGTATGGTTTAATGTTTCTTTTCCTCATGTAATGCATGTGAGTAGTAATTAATATAGTTTGAAGACCCACATATTGGGCATTTCACTAATATATCTGAATGAGTTCAAGTTGGGGAGGCTCTTGACTACACTGGAGTAATTTGCATCTGCTGCTGCTGAGAGAAAGAGTTTTGGGAGATAAAAGATTGTTATATATCTTTCACTATCATGCGATTCAAATTCAATAAGAAAGTTTATTTAGATGCTTGATGTTATTTAGGAAACGTAGATTTGCAGGTCACCAAGATAATAATTGTTTGTATATATATAATTCCTCAGCTGTAGAGAGGATCGATCTAAAGAGAAAGCAGAAGATGTATCAACTTCAAGTATTCAACATCAACATGAAGATTCAGTCCTTTCAAGTTTAATTGTGTAAAGATATTTCAAATTCCAAAAGACCCTCAATTTCATCATGGTTTGATGCCATCTTCAAGAGAAGCAAAAGCAAATAAGAAACAAGACATTATTAGAGAAAGAGACTAATATGCCATAATATTATTAAAGAAATATGCATTCAAATCAAAATAATTCGTAATATTAAAAAAAGAGTTACACTACGATCAAAATATAACTATTACGGTCAAGTAATTCGTTTTCAATAATTTTCCTCACAATTCTCTTAAAACATTTTTAATTTTATCCCGTCAATTCTTTATAACATATAATATTTTAATTTAAATTTTATTTATATATATATAATGTTAAGCGAAAAGTTACCCCACATAAATTTTGTATGGTCTATTTTAAAATAAAATCTTGAAACTTTCAAATTAAAATATCAATTTACTAATCGTACCATTTCCCCTTAAAGATTTGAATATAATCTTTTGACTAATTAAAGCCATATGATTAATCACATATTACAATAGCAAAAAGGAAAAGTATAACTTACCTCTTGTAGTTGATAAAAATCTTTGTGTGCAATGTGATAAGGCTATTGATCGACCACTCAAGTTAAAAGGCAGAACGTAAAATAATGGAACCCCATTGTCCTTTCTCTTTCCACCAAGCAAAAGCACTAGGATGCTTTGTATAGGCAATTAAAAAGTATATATCTATATAGTTCGAAAAAGAAATTATTTCTCTCCTTTTTTTTAAGTAGAATAGAAAAGAATAAATTACACCAATTACTACTCACAATCATAATTTTTTTTTAAATTTTTTTACACCTCTTTTCATGCCCTATGTATAAATTTTTATTAAGTGTCTCTTTGATGCTTGAAGTGTAAAATACGTATTCTCGTATCTAAATAAAGAGTAAAATTAAACACTATTAATGAAAAAAATAAAAAATAAAAGAGCTTCATCCATCATTTATCTTATCATTTTTTCCTCTTTTAGTCACTTATATTTTCATGATTTTTCTCTCATCTTAGAATTTAAAGGCCAAGATTCCATGGACTAAGCAGTGTTTTATTTTTTCTTTTTGTTTTCTTCCCTTAACTTTGGGGTTTAGCTATAAATCCATTTTCCCCCTAATCTTTGTATGGACGGCTGCATTTTGATCGAAAGAGGGAAGAACGAGTGGGGACAGTAGAGAAGAACAATGACGGGGGAGGACTGGGATTTAGCATTCCCTGAGACTGTTGCGGTCTGCAGGTTCTTACATGTGGTTGCTGCCAGACGACGTTCTGGGACTGTACAGGGGAGTTTTAACACTTTGATTCATGGTGCTGTGTTTTTCTAGAGTTTTTGTGGATGTTTTCTGTGTCTGTAATTTAATGGCGGGGCATAAGTTATTAATTGAGCTGGAAAACCTTACTTTAAATCTTTAACTACAGATTTTTATATTAAAAAATAACATAATATTTAAATAAATTTTTATTTTTTTATTATATTCAATTAAATTTCTGTATTTTTATTTTGAATGAAATAAATTCTCACGATTAATGACTGATTAATTACCATTAGTTAAAATATCACTTTTTATTTTAACTATAACCTTTTACAATCATATAAATACAATTTGCTAACATAAAATGATTGCTAATTCCAACAACAGAAATACTTTTAATAAAAAATTGCAATTAAAATGACGGATCTTTTTATTATTGTTGTTAAGGTAACGCAAGCCATGAACTTATTTAACAAGTGATTTTTTGATTAATAATAATTAGTTAATAATTTTAATTAATGATTATATTTATTAATCATTAGTTATAAAAACTAATTTATTTGTCTAAAATAAAAATTAAAGAACTTAATTGAACGTAACGAAATAATAAGATAGGAATTGAATTGATTTTGTAATATAATTTAAGGACTTATTTAGATATTTAACTAAAGTAGAATAAAAATGAAACAAAGCAAAAGAAAAAAAAAGGGGAAAACTTACATGAAGGCTATGGAAATGGAAAAAAGCCTACTTAAAAAGGAAGAAACAATAGCAAATTAGAAAAGGATTGCCCCCTAAAATGAAAAACAACAAGAGATTGAAAAGGATGGTAAAAAGCCGCAAGAGACGCCGTAAGCAAAATCTGATGTCGTTATCTGAATGCCCGTCGTTCCTCTAACATGTTTCATCCAATTAAAACTACAAGATAAATGATATGATAATATAAACAGAATAAGAAAAAGACAAACATTTAGGGTAGACGATTTCTGCTTCAAGCCTCAAATTAGTTCTTTAAATTTTTTGTTAAAAAAGTAAAATTTATTGCCTGATTAATCGAGGAAAACAAACTCCAATTACATCATTTAATAGTAAGCTTCTAACTCTACCAGGTGGATTAGAAAAAAGATTAAAAATTCTCATCAATGGATAATACCATATTAGCCATCTTTAAACTTCTTTATGGTTTGAATTAAATCTGAATTTGAACAAGGGTGATTAAGTTGGGAAGTTATCGTACCAACCACTAACTTGCTATCTACCTGAATATCAATATTCCTGAATCCTTGTTCCCATGTGTATTTGAGTCCTTGATAAACACCTCAAAGTTCAGCTCGGTATGTAGTGCACTTCCAGAGTTTCATCGCATAGCCTCCTCTCCACTGACCATTCGAATCTCGCAAGACTCCTGGGATCGCTACCTGCTCAGTTGTTTTTCGATGAGCACCATCAGAGTTGAGAGCCATCCAACCGGAGGAAGACTCTGTCCAGCTAACTAGAATTTCCTCTCGGGGTCTTGTTGAAAATTGATTGATAAGATCATGCTATATATTGAAGACGATCTCCCTTCAATAACTACAGTTTTGCTCTCAAAGATCCGTATGGTTCTCGATTTCCACAATAAGCAAGACGTCACTCCAAATAAAACATTCCACCCAACTTCATTCTCTTCAGCTTGTGATTTGTTCAAGTTATAAATGAACAGTCAAAATACCAACTAAATCTCTATATCCACGCATTCTGTTCAAAAAATTTGTGCACTTGCTGAGAATCGAACCAAGGACCTCAAACACACCTAAGTCTTTTCTTCTTATTTAATTCTTGCTTTTGTTTCTTTTCTTCTTCCATCCTTCATATTTTTGGTTAAACAAATTCTTATAATTAATGATTAATTAATTGTCATTAACCAAAATATTTCAATTTACACTCACATGACATTGACATAACGTTAATATGAAAGATAAAATATACGATATGACTATGTCTTCATATTAATCATTAATTATAAAGATTTCTTTGACTCAGAATTAAGGTACAATGGATTATTTGATTTAAAATAAAAATATAAAGACATATTTGAATGCAATAAAAATATAAGAACTTATTTAATTTTTTGAAAATAATTTAAAGTTTTTTTAAATATTATGTTTTTTTCTTTTCAAAGTCTAAATTACAAAAAAAAGTCATAGGCGTGCATAAAAATAATGGAAAAAGCCATGTATGAATGAAACTTGCTAGGGCTTACTTCTATTCTATCCTAGCCGTGCCAGATCTAGTCTATTATTACTAGATCCAGAGCAATGACAACTGTAACATGTTTGGCTGCTAGGGGTAGTAATGACTTAACATTAGTTCAGACACAGTGAAAGGGACAAGAAGATTCTCTTGGCTTCTCTTGTATCTTCCCAACCTGAAAGTGCTAAAACTTTACTGGCTTTGATTAATTATGCAATTGAACTTAGAAGAAGCATTAACTTTATTCAAAATGCTTGTAGCCTTAAGTAAAGGATCAACTTTTTCAAGGAATTTTCTGATTTGCATCTTTTTAAGTTATGTAAGATTGTACCTTAGGAGAAGAACACTGCCAGCTTTCTCACATCCCATAGTGTCTACAGGTGCATCTTCTGCAGACTTATTCTACAGATTCCTTCAAGCACTTTTTCCCAGTTAGCAGGTACATTGCCTGTATCACTTCAAACACATCAATAGCAAACGCATCTGCAATTCAGAAGTTTATACACTCAAAAGAAATGCACTAGGAGAAAGTCTTGTCCATCAAATTTATTAATCATTCTATAATCTATATGGACATCTACATTAACAACAGACAATCTACTTAACAATCCAAACACATCCTAGAGGCAGAAGTCTATAAATAGGCTACATTTAAATCATGATAATAAGATGCAAAGACCAACTGCAAACTTTGGTAACTTTGATAATAAGAGGAAAAGGTTTACAAGGTAGAGCAAATCGGCATGCAGTTATAAGTTCTCTTTAAAGTCAACAAACACCTTTGGCAAACTCTCTTCTTCTCTTGCAATTTCAATTAGCATTACTCATGCACAATTTTTCACCATTTACCTCCTATTCCAACTGGGGAAGCAATACCAGTTCCCACATTTATCTCTTCAGATGTGGACTTTGACTTCCCTGCAAAGCCATTGTTTTCTGAAACCAGTCAGTGCCAGGGACATTATCCATTAAAAATGGACATTAATATACAAAAATGAACATTTGTCTATACCACTGCCCATGTTTTTGTGCATCTATGTGCTTGTCTGTGTTTTTCGGATGGGAGTCCATATGTGCTCATGACTGAAATATGAATACAGCATGATAGCAATCTACACGTTGCCCAGGTTGGTGAACCCGTACAGCATCCTGAAATTATTCCCTAATATATATGCCATAACTCCATGCGTAGACGTTGTCAATGTAATAAACTTTTTCTGGAAAAACTTTCAAATGCCATACTCATAGGAACATAGCATTGCAATGGAAATCTTACCAGACAGAGGACCATCCACCTTCTTGTATGCAAATTCCTCTATGTCAGGTAGGTAGGCCACACGGCTGCAGAAAAAATTTAAATGGTTGTGTGGTCAAGAATTACTCTATACTGCTAAAACTTATCACCAAATCTTTTAAAGTAAAAGGAAGAAACCAGGTAGCTTAGTTGGTAAAGTCCCTTAGTACCAATGCCTAGGATCAAGTCCTGTAGGATTTACAGGATTAATTCTAAAAAGCAGGGCTGCTCCATACTATGTACTCGCTTCATTGGACCAAAAGAATCTTTACAAGTAAAAACGTAGCCAAACTTAAATGTTGAGTGATAAAGTAATAACACATTATTTTTTTTTTTGAAAGTAATAAAACATTATTACATGACGAATTTCAGTGTATATGCATTTTCTAAAATCAAGCAGGATAAAATTTCAATTAGCCAGGATGACTATTAGTCAAAGAAATGGAAGCAAAAGAGCAAAGTACATAAGAATCCTTCATCCACATTAAAAAATAATAATAATAATAAATAAATAAATAAATAAATACATAACCAAGACATTGCAATCATGTTTAAAGCAGAGAACAAACAAATGTAAACCTATCAATCATAATGCCGGAAAAAGGTTACATTAATATGAAACCAAAAAAGATTGTATTCTGATTCTCAATGGAAAAAAAGGGGAAAAAAATAAGGGCCTTACCTTAAGGCCCTTATTTTCTGCTTTGGGAATCTCTTGTACAACATCCACCGTCTTTTTAACCCTCTTTTCCCTCTTAAAAACTCGAACTGCTGGCACAGAAGCGTTGTCCGTTGCTTCAAAACCTGCAAATTCCCAAAAGTTTACAGAAAGGAAAGCATAAGAAGAAAGTGATAGGACAGAAAAGAAATTTATAAGAATACAAGAATGTAAATAATGTCTTTATTATCCCATTAGAAAACCTGGGTGTGGGTCTGAAGAAGGAACTTCAGTTGTTGATGATGATGAAAGGATTTTGAAGGTGAATCTTGTTTTTGGCACTTTTCTGTTCAATTTGAGTCCTCGCAAGCCAACGCCAAATCCTCGGGGGAGAACGGGAATGTAGCAAGTATTATTGTTATTATTATTATTATTGTTGTTGTTGTTGTTATTGTTATTATTATTATTATTATTATTATTATTATTATGTATAAAGGAAAAATTTTATTGAATTAGTTTAAAATAATATTTTAGGCCATTAGACATTTAGGGAGTCCGTTAGTAATTAATAAGTAGGAAATGTTTGCAGGAGAGCATCATAAACTTGTAAATTTATATTTAAATTATCATGATAAGTAGCTATTTAATCAGTATATTGATTAAATTATTATTATTTTAATAATTATGATTGAGTTAAAAAATTAAAATTTTTCAATATTTAATTCTTTTATATGATTGAAAACAAAATCATATTTACATGTTTGCCATTATATAAAACTTATTATAGCATGTCTTGCATAATCCTTTTTAAATACATTCTGTAGTCGAAAAATAATGGTTCAATTTCCTCACATGTCATGATAGAGAAAATGAAATTATTATTCAATGTTCACTCCAAATAAAAAAGAATGGAATAACCAAACATGTCATGATACCAATCAAAATAATAAAACTAAATAAGTAATATTTATTATACTAACTGAATATTAATCATTAAATAATAAAACTAATTTTTGAAATTCTAATAATTTATTTTTGCTTTATTACATTTGTATGCCATACACAAATTCACTAAGTAGGCAACTAAAAGCTAAAATCAAATAAGAAGACAACGTGTTAAAAGAAAAAATATAATATTAAAATATTTTTATTACGATCAATTAAATTTTTATATTTTTATTTTTAATTAAATAAATTCGTAAGAATAACAGTTAATTAATTATTTATAGTCAAAATGTCATTTTTCATTTTATATTTACCTGACGTTAATAAAGTCAAAATATTATATGACTATGTCATTCTGTCATATTTTTATTTACTATGACATGTTAGCATATTACATCAGCAACATGTAACATAACATGACGAGTAACATTTTGATTAATAATAATATTTTTATTAAATATAATAAAATAAAAAAAATTATTTAAAATTTTTTTAATAATATAAGACTTTTTTAAATATTACATTAAAAAAAAGACAAGACAATGTAGCGATAAGAATTAAGTTTCAAATCTCAAAATAAATAAAACAAGTATATGAAAAGGAAACCAAGTGAAGAAATGCAAAATCAGAAATGAGAATTTATCTCCTTGTGAGACAAAGGAGAAAAAATCTTGTTGTGAGATTATGTTTGAGAAGGTGATGCATGCATCTATGTCATTGATTGAGAATAACTCATGGTACCTATCACTGATTTTTTATTTTTTGTATTTGACCAAATGATGCTTCAACTTTTCAATTTCTTATAAGAGAAATTTATGTTTAAAAAATAATTAAAACTCCTAATCCATCATATCTATACAATATATATAAAAGTAGCTTGACAAGTTAATGTTTGGATTGTCCTCGATTGAGCCTCTAATTTAATGACAAGTATCATTCAATTGAAGGGCTACATCTTTTTTTTTTGTTTCCCCTCGTCTAGCAAAACAATGTCGTTTTACATGTTTGAAAGTTTTTTCCCCTTTCCTTTTAGGTTGCTAGAAACAACATTGTTTTTAAACTTACCGTTTAGATTGCCTAGGTAGGGTTTGCTTAACTTTGATGTTTCTGTTGTTTTTTCTCTTTTGGTTCCTTTATTGTGATTTTTTTTTTTTTACAGTTTTAGTTATTGAGTACTTTGATTGAGTGGAAGAAAGGAGGAAGGAGGGATAAAGGAAAGGCTTTAGGGTTCGTTATTTGAAGGGTGGCTATTAGGTTTGGATAAGAAAAAGCATGGTATTAAGGGTTTTGTTTATTTGTCGAGGAATAGGTTTGGGTTTTTGTTAGACAAAATTGGTGGGGAAAAAGAAAAAAGAGAGGAAGATTGAGGGTGATGGGTTATCAGGTTTGTCAGATCGATTTTGGCTAAAAGAGTCGTAGGAATAGGGTAATTCTTTTAACGATGGCTTTAAGGTTTTGTTTTAGGATTCAATTGAGAAGGTTGGTTTTTGGCTAGTAATTGATCTTCATTTTTTATTGATGAAGTTGGTTGTAGGATTGGTGGTTTTAAGGTTTGCTTATTGTTTCAAAACAATGTCGTTTTACATGTATGAATATAAAAGAAAAAAAAGGGAAAATGTCAATAATTTGTCTCTTGCTTTAACTATGTGTTATGGGGAATTTTATTAACCGATTGCTTAGGTTTTACAATCAGTAACAATTGTCAAATTACCGTATTAATATTCAATCTAATATTTACTACTAAACATGAAGAAAAAGCAATACAACCACTAAAGACAGAAACACAGTCACAGTTGAGTCAGTAGACAAGTCTTTCAAAGGCAACAATGGTAAATTTATTAGCTACGGATCCAAAGCAAGTGTTAGTAAGATTATCTGTTTATAGTACTATAACATTAATGATAATCAATATTCACATGTTGTTGACAAATGAAAAATAAAACAATTAACTATATAAAAATATTTATATTCTTTTCCATGCTAGAATGCCAAGTTTAAGGTGATAGTGACATTGTCAATGTTGAAACACCAAATGGATGGTACTATAACGCTTGTAATTAGAGCGCGATAGGTCTACGATTTGTGTTGGTGAATTTTGGTACTCGAAACACGATGAGAAGACATCGGTTCTTATATAAATAGGATAATTCTTATTTATTATTGAATTTAGTAAAAAGTACATCCTTACAAAACAAAGAATATAATAGAACATTTTAAAATATTTTACAAAATGATTTTGCAGTTAATAGTCCAAGATGAAACTGGTACCATTAAATTGCTAGCTTTTGGACAACAAATTAAAAAATTGATTAGAGCTACTATTGTAGAACTTGTTGCAATTAGAACACTAAACAAGATGACTCTTTCATCTCCTGTGAAGGCACTAATCAACACTAAAGGAAATTGAAGAGTAGGACTCACAGGAAAAGCCATCTATACGTAGGTTTTAAAATCTTTAACTATAATAGTGTCAAGTAGATTATACCTTCAAGTACCATATTGCAAGAGTCTACGAGTTCTACAAGTCAAGAACTGACTATTTGTTATACTCCATCACTTAGCATTGGACAATCTCAAAAGGAAGTCCCACCATCTCTAACAAGTGTAAAAGTTTCAAAAGAATTATTTTCAGAAGAGTCACTTGGAAAAAAATAAAAATTTAGTAGGTAAATTACCCAAAATGATAGGTATTTTTTATTTAAATTAGTATATAGAAAGTATCAACTAACTTCACATTATGCTTGATGATGTGCAAACAGGAGGTTCAACCATGTTGCAAAGAAAGCAACAGTTCATAGACAGTTTCACTCGAAAGAAAAATAGGTAAATTTTATCATAAATAGGTAGCTTTAATGTATTGTAGCTACTATGATAAAAATATGCAAATAATACAAGAACAATCAAATTTAGTACAGTAAAACTGATTATTGTGTTGTGTTAACTGTTGGAACAATATCATTTTGATATTTTGTTGTACAAAAAATATATGACCACTTGTATGGATGTTGTTTTTGTACATTTAACTTTGAGTTTGAGTTATCAATGAATAGAAATCTAAAAGAGTTTGATTCCATAGAAAACATATATTAAATCATGTGCACAATCTCTTTGTATCTTGACGTTAAAAGAAATTTTACTACTCAATATTTTGTTTCAAGTGTATGAAATTTTGCATGTAAGTCCATTTTAATTATATTGGCAATTAGACTATCCAAAATACATTCTAAAAATTCTTTTTCATTTTCAATGGCTAAATTTATAAAGTTAAATTTATTAAGTACACAATATTATTGAAAATATACTACATTGGAATATTATAATATTTTTTTTAGTATTTATTTTTCATCAACCGAATAACCCACAACAACGCATAAGTCTTCTACCTAGTGTCTTTAACTCTGGGTGAAGTTTAATTATGTAAAACGTCATGTCCAAACCTACTCTTTGAGTTGTCCAAGCCTTGTCCCATTGGGCCAGGTTGGTCTGCAAGCCATTGCAACCAAGCCATGGAACCATTGAAATTACATTATGACAATTTGTTTGCTTTTGGTTAGATCTTTGAATCAGGTATATATATATATATATATATATATATATATATAT